TATTTATTTAGAATAAATAAATGAATTTAAATTAAATAAATAAAATGCCCCCCCCGCATATGTATCTGCATTGCATTTGGTTCTGCTGCTGTGCTACACAGTTATTCATCATTGTGAGCACCTTCCACAACTCTGCACCATATTATCTATGACTTTGTTGACCCACTATGCACTTGCATTTCCAGATAGTTTGTGGACATGTTGAACAACAGAGGTCCAACACAGGTACCTCCTTCTTTACGGAGAAGACAGACTGCAATCTCCTGCTCTTCATTTACTGTCTTTTAAACAGTTGTCTATCCTCAGGAGAACCTTCCTGTCATCCTGTAGCAACTTAGTGCCTCATCACTTACTGCCTTTGGTGAGGGACCTTCTTGAGAGTCTTTGGAAAATCCTAACGGACCATCTTCACAGTGTCTCCTTTTTCCTCCTGTTTCTTGGCTACTTCATAAGCTTTCTGATAGAATTCTGAGGTGTGACTTCTTGTCGTAAAAGCTGTGTTGACACTTTCTTATTACATAATTTTCACTCACGCACTACATTATTCTCTTTCAGTATGTAATACCTCAGTGTGCTTTTCTTCACCCTACATCTGTAGAATAATAAGGATCAGCTTAATGGCTGCTGAGCCCTGAAGAGGATGTGTCTTTTGTGACTACAGACCGTTCTGCATGAGAACATAGAGCCTGGCCCCCTCCTCTACTGTCCATCTGTGGCTTATCCTTCTCTTCATTTTTGCTCCCCAACTTTCTGCATTTAACTCACACTTTTTTCCTCATGCTCCTCCACCAATGTCACCAGCAAAAAGGCACTGTTCTCAAGTGCTGCTAGGAAGCCCAGGAGCTGCTCCAGTAGCTGCAAATAAAGACCTGCTTCGGTGCTACAGCCTCAGCCTGATATACACACGGTACTGGTAGAGCCACGCTGCCATTTGACTGGCCTTTCACAGTGGCTCTGAAGGCACATCTGTGGCTCAAGGGGTACCACCTTATTCAGATTTCGGTTCCAGCTCTCAAACGTCAGTGATTCTCTTCTGAACAATTTGATGTTTTGGCAATGCAAAAAAACATTTTTACTATGCCTCAGAAACAGCAGGTTCATCTGCATCAAAACTTTAAACAAATGCTGACAAACAGTGGCGAACACTCAACGGTGAAAATTTTAGCCTTGATCTTATCAACATAATAAATGGGAAACAAGCTCTTAAAATGGAAGGTGTTAGACAGTCTTGGGCAGGTTTTCTGGCAGTCACAGGAATCTCACCAGCCTTTAACATAATCTGGGTACCTCTGCAATGAGCATAGCAATGAACATGACATGAGGTGGCAAAAAGACACACAGGGCAGTTTGACTTAAGAACTCAGTGTTCTGACTACACCCACAAGAATTTGAGCAGAAGAGCATCATATAAGCAATGCAAAATTACATAAGGTAACATTTCACTGGTCCATGAAGGCTGGCACATGAATTCTTGCTAGAAGTGAGATAAGATAGAATGACCACAGGAAAACAACATTTTGGTTCCAACCCATCCAAGGTATCATCTGAATGCCAGGCATTCGATGCCCGTGGAATGTTTTTGCCTTGAGAAGAAATTTGTGAAAATTCAATTAAAAAGTTAATTATGTCCATCGGAGTGTCAGGTCCCACGGTAGGCTGAACATCTCCACCTCAGGTCACTGGTTCTTTTGCTCCCAGGGTGAAAAACAGGCTTCTTCAGATGTTCAGGATGGTATTTGTCAGACCAGATGGAGAAGGTGGGCTTTAGCTGCCAGGTCTCAAAGCAGGAATTAATTTTGGATCCTTCTATCCCAGATTATCCCGAAAGCAAATCATTCATCATGGAAAACTGGGGAGGATGAAGGCTAAAAGAAGATATGTAGCTCCAACACAGCAACAGGCCAGGGAACAGCTGTGCTCCACTGCTGGAGGTGTTGAGAGCTGCTCAGGGCCAGCAGCATCTCCCACAATTATTTTGACCAAATTTTACTCACTGTCAATCAGAAAAGATACGTGACAAGTGCCAAAGGGGCACTTTCTCGGATTTGCCTGGCTAATACCAGGGTGGGCAGAATAAACGGGGAGGAGATCCTTTTCCCTCCCAGCAGCTGTTGCGAAGAGCGGGGGCCGGGTGAGGGATGCTTTTTGTGTCAGAGAAAACTGGCTGCAGAGACCCAGAAATAGCCATGGCGTTGTGCCACCGGGCCTTTGCCATGAGATTGCATCAATATGCAATGCTGTCGAGTGGTGCCAGTACGTACTGCAGTGATCGAGCATCACGCCGACACAGCGCAACGTCTGTGTGAGCTGCCATCGTCCTGTGGCTGTCCAGGCCTACCTCCTCTGATGATGCGGTGCCTCTGCAGTCTTTCAAGATTAATTGCACTGTATGGGTATGGGTATATGCTTATGTGTGTGCATGTAGCTGCATGCACACCATTTAACCTGAAGCAGAAATTCAGTTCATCAAATGAAATTATCATGAAATTATCATTATGAAATTCAGTTTCATCAAATGAAATTATCATAAAGAGAAAGAAAGAGAGGGTCATGGGTAGGGAAACAGGGCTAGGAACATTAGGGATTATCAGCAAAAACAGTCATAGCTCTTAGCAGGGCATCCACCTGAAGAAAAGTCTCTGCTGTCCCTCCAGTGAACACATTGGTGCATAGAGCATTTCACAGGCTCGGCTTTTTGTTTCAGATCTGCAATTGCTGCAAAGATCCAAGACTGCAAACATTTAAATGAAAAATGGCAGAAAATATTTCTTAAAATAGCCATTAAACTCAAGGACAAAGATCTGGACCCAGAGGCACAGAGCCAAGAACAAAGTCTCTTTAAATAGATGTTAAAGAGGGAAGGGTTCATTTACAAGAGGACATCATGCCCTGCAGAAGGAATTCCTGGCAGATCTTTTGCCATCCTCAGGCAAACATGGAAACGTTTCAGGGGTAGTAGCCTTTGATGTCAGGGGAAAAAGGAAACAATTTCCATACAGCCACAAACGCTGAAAGCATGCATTATTCAAGCCAGGATCTATAAATGGAAAGCGGTACCGTACCCTTTTCATTGAATGGTGTGTGCCAAGCGAGAAGGTAGTTGTCTGGTTTTAATTCCCTGCAGCCTTCGATGGTAGCGGGGTCTGGCCGCCTCCCTGAGAGCTTGTCGACAGCATCCACGTATCGTTTTACCAGCTCCCGGTACAGGTCTTCTAAACACCAGTAATCTGCTCAGAGGAGGGAAGAGAAGGTTGCTATGTGACGGCAGGAGAGCAAGAGAGCAGTGAAATCAAACAAGCAAGCTCACTATGCATTTAAGAAATGTTCCTATTTCCACTTCCAACACACTGAGTGGTGTTTCTGGTGCCACTGTCAACACATTTTTACGCAACATGCAAGCAGGCTGGAAGGACAACAGCCTCGTCTCTCTGTTCTCATCTTTTCCTGCTTTCCTTTCCACTTCTAATTCCTTTAATCAGAAAGATGAAGGCATTTTGTTCATCAACAGTAGCTGCTCAGGGGCTTTATTTAGGCTCCGTGGTGTGAAGTATTTAGAGGTGTCTAACTGTAAGGTGAGCGTGTTGCTGCCGTGGGGACTGGGTGTGCACATGAAGCCAGCTGTGCCTGGCTCAGCCCGTGCCTTTGCCGTCACGAATGCAGGCACGAATCCAAATCAAAAATGAAAGCCTATTTTTTTTAAATTACCACTGACTTATTTTGAAGAGGTATGTATGATTAAAGACAAAAGCAAATTAGTGACCTTATTTTTTAATCTGTATTTTATATTTATTTTGCCTAAAATTTGTAGGTCTTTCATGAAGGGATCCTTATATCTTATGTCAGTACAGTAACCAGAACAGTGAGGTTTTATAAAAATGATTAGTAAACCCCTACAGTCTGTAGTATTTCCAGCAGATAAATGTCTTTCTGGAATAAGTTCACTAGCAATACCTGTTTATTGATTATTTTTACTAAGGCCTTACCTAAGGAGGAACCTTTCCCCTACTAAACATACACTGTTCGTTCAGTATAGCTGCTTGTCTTGGCTGCTGCTGCATGGCGTTGGGCTTGAAAAGCCCTGCCCTCAGCTCTTGCCAAGGAAAAGCTTCCACTGGCAAATATTACAGTTGTGTAATCAGTGGGAACTGAGGAGGTTGTGGGGATTTGTCCATTTATATCTTTTCTATGTACTTCAAGAAACCCTGTTTAATACTTGGTTTGACTCACAGATCGAATGACACAGCAGGGGAAGTTCTAAAGCTATCTTCATTTTGTCAAAGATCGGCGATTTCTTGAAAGCCACAGGAGAGGTTTAGTTTAAGAGAAGGTTTGGAGCCCTGTAAGCCAGAGCCACTCTAAAGTGCCAGTTAGGCAGACAGGTGAATAAAGAAAACGCAGGGTAAAACCAAGATTCCCCTTCTTTCACATAAAAAAATACCCTATCCATTATGCTGGCCATCCCACATACAATCCTAGAGGAATAAGATACTTTCAAGCTGCCGACTCTTTCCAGATTTAGGAATCAGGTGTCAGTTTATCCAGATGGGAACCAGGAGCAGGATTTACAGCCCCACAGCTTCTGCAGAAGCTTTGTCCCCAAAACTAGAGTCCCTGTGGTCCAGCAGCTCCGGGCTGCCTGAGCCCACCACAGTTCCTGCACCTGGAGCCAGCCTCATCCGTCAAGTCAATAGGACAGGTTCCCTCTTTAGAAATGAACCCTTATTTTTTTAAAACCTCTGTTTAAGTCAGAGAGGAAAAGGCTTTCCTCGTTGCAGGGGTAGTTCCTCTGCTTTTGATGATGCCGTTTTCGTTCCTTCCTTACGGGACGCATTCCTACTGGAAGTAGACATTTTGTTTATCCTTCATTGCGGGATCAAACTGTGCACATGGTGGATTTGGGCAGCACCAGCTGAGTTTGCAGCAGCGCCCGCAGCCCCCGCTGCTTCTGGCCGTGGCCCTCCTAGGATGTCCGCCACGCAGCTGGCAAAGTGCTGGCCAAAATCGCCTCCCCGGCGGAGAATTGCCTTCGTCCTCAGTGCAAACCTCCACCTCACGCTTGGCTGCTGCCTGCAGCCTGAGGCTGGGAGGTCCCCCGGGGGCAATGGCCCGGCGATGGGACTTCATGGCAAGCCTAAGCCCTGGGCACGTCCGACCCAGCCTGCAAGCATCCCACACGTACCTGGAGGTACGCACCCAGGGGATGCTGCCTGCGGCCGGCTGAACGGGATACATGGGGACCGGGGCACTGAGGGACAGGAATATTTTTTATTGCTTATCCCCCCTCCTTTTTTTTTTTTTTTTTTTTTTGGCTAGTAATGTTCCTGGCACCCAATATATTCTTTAAAATCTCAGTGTACGCAGCAGCGAGGGCTCCGTGCTACGCGAGGAAGGCAGGTCCCCGGGGCCAGTGGCAGCTACCTTCAGCCTCACGGACCCACGTTCACCTTGAGCTTCACTCTGTTGACTCGGGTGATTTTGCACATGGGCCGGGCCATGACCAAGCACAGTGGCTTTTTTGTGTTCCTCTTGCCAGGAGGAGACACTGCAGTGGGCAGGAGCGGTTCTGTTTCCCTTGTGGGAAGCAGAGAGGAGGACTCGCTTTTCCCCTGTTCACCAACGTTACTATGAAATGAAGATTTCTTACCAAAATTCCCCACACCAGCTTGTTGCTTTCTCACCAGCCTGTTGCTTTCTCACCAACCCATAAAAACACCTTCTTAAAAAGCTTGTCTGATCAGGCCAAAGAAATGAGAGTGTAGGATAAACACGGGAATTATAGCTGAGACTTTTTTTCTTTAGAGACACAGTGCTACTGCTACAGTTAAGAAATAAGATTTGTTATTTTACTGTTAGTCTAACTGGCTTGATTACCCAAAAGTTTTTGTTTTAGAGAGTTCAATAAGCAAGAAACATATGATACGTATTTAATCACAGCCTATATTCAGAAATAGGTTAGTCATCTTTTTTCTTGATAGGCTGACATCTTGCCCTTATCTTTAGTGTATTAGCTACCCCTGAAACCATTGGGTAGCTAATAGCCAAGCATGAAGTGTCCAACACACTCTTCAACTGATCTCTACGTACTAAATTTAGAGCAGATTGGAAGCAGGCAGACAAAGCAGTGAAACAGAAGCACAAGGGAAATTTCATTGACGTGGAGGATACTTAGCTACACCGTCAGCTACTGCTACTGTTAGTTATCCAGTGTTACGTGTGTTGAGAAAAACCAGGAATATTTTCACAGAGATTAAAAAATTTGATTTGTTCGGAAGAGGCAAAATATTGCTGAACGGTCACTGTCTTCTGGTATACTTTTGGTGACGAACTTGCCAGTCTCAGAAAGCTCTAGTTCAACGGGTAGGGTGTCGATATAAATATCACTGCACCTTACAAAAGACTATTCCTACCTTAAGAAAAAACAAATGTTCTCTCTCAAACTATTGTGATTTTAGAAGACATATATTAATAACTTCCACTATTCTGATAGACTTTATTATAAACATAGTATGTTAGAATATTTTTTGGACTAATGACACAGAGCTCTCCTTAGAAAGCAAATTGTTCCGTTTCTGGCCTTGCAGGTACAACACTTTGCCCAGGGGGCTGCAAGGAGGAGACAGCGCTAGCGATTTTAGCCTGAAAGAGGTATTAAGGTGACTCTACTCCAGCCTGGAGTTCTGGACACAAACAAGTTAAAAATGCACTTAGAAAAGCTCTTATCTTTTACAGAAGAGTTTCTAGTGGCTGTATTATTCCCTGCCATATTCCAGCGTACAGATAATCTACTTAGCACTTATTTTTGTTATGCTGGGCATGCGGTAATTTAGTCTTTCGGCTTTAACCAACTGTATAAACCTAGGGCAAATATAGGGAGAGCCCCTCGCACTCAAGAGCTCAGAACTCCCCAGTTTGTGTGATGGTTGCCAGATTATGCTCATGGAGGAGCCAAGCTAATGCACATTCCCATTCACATAAGCAGCACTTCTGACACGCTTTCTCATGACTTCCCCAGCACTCAGGCTCATTCTAAGAAATGCAGCAGCTCGACAGTTCTGTTCCTTTCCAGACTGTTTGCTAGTCCCGTCGTACCTACCTGTGATGACAGCCTCTGCTGTAGCCATGTGCATGAGCGTGTTGTCACTTACTGGCCACTTGTCAGGAGAGAGCACCAGGTTCTCAAGCCCCCCAATTTCCTTCAGCTCCTGCTGGATTTTTGCACCTAAGGCATTGTTTTCTCGGGAGAAATTGCGATAACCGAGGGCATCCCCTACCCCAGCCAGCACAAGCGCAGCCTTAAATTTATCCATCCCCGAGACACTTTCTGCTTTCCTTTTGTCCGAGACAGCCGCCGAATCTTGATCTTCCTTTGTTCCTTTGCCTCCAGCTCAGCTCCCCTGACACTTTATATCAGCCATTGTGTCACACCGAGAGCGCTCTCTATAAGGCAAGGACTTCCTTTTCTGGCTGTGCAGATGCCGTCTCTTGTCCGGGACCTGACGGAGAGGAAATATTTCATAACCCAGGGATTTTGCAGGGGCTTTGTTCAATGAAACCGCAAGAGCGGACCTGCAAAGAGAAGCGCAAAAGCCTCGTTTCTGCAACCCAGCGTAAAGCAAGCCAGGAAATCCTTAGCCCTACCCAGCGTAAGTAACTCTACACCCAGAAAAACAGATGCCTCCACATGGGTGTTTATTTATTTAATAACTTGTAAATTAATATATTTTCCTGCCCTTTTCTGATATTCTGGAGTCAGTCTCCCTTTCAGGGGCCTATCAGAAGGAAAGCCTGTGATAAAAGGAGTTTCCAAACTCCGTAAACACCAGAATGAGGGGCTAAGCAGTAAGAAACCTAGTCAAATGCAGAGGACCTCTCCCATTTCTAATTATGCCCTACGGCGGCATTTTGTCAACAGCTTTTCTTGCTCTGTTCCACCTATTACAAGAATGCTTTGCTAATTCATTGCACCCCTGGGTAAACATTGAGCAAAACACCAACTTCAACACCACGCCTCTTACTCCCTGGCAAAGACTGACTTTTTCCTAAGGGCAAGCTCAGGTGCAGCCCACATTTGGATTCTGGGAGGAAACTATTTCGAAAGATGCATTTAAATGGCATCCTGTGAATCTAAGAAAGTTCACATATGAAGAAATCTCACTTAAGAAGAACTGAACTTTATCAATACCATCCTTTCAAACCTGATACTTGTGCAATTATGTGCTTCATTCTGTTACTGCAGTTTTTTCTGTGCTTCTGTCACGCAGTGCAAGGAGGGGCTCTGTAGTCTTGCAGCTTTTTGAACATATTTTGCCCACAAACATGTCTCTGTGTAGGCTCAACATCTTCCTTCAAGGGGTCTGCTAAGACTGACTCAGATTGTGGTTCCGAGTCACCATCCATGCTGCCCTAAAGACACAAATTACTACTGCTTTACAGATAGAAATACAAATGTAAATATAAACTTAGGTAGATAAACAGAAAGCTTTGATTGGCTTGACTGCAATTTTGATAAAGGATACCTGGGGAAAGGTCTTTGTTTTACTTTGATTGTTTTCAGAAAGCAATACTGATTGCTGTTCGGATAGAAAAGGCCAGCAGTGTAAAGGATGCATCCTCCTATCACCCAGAGCGATGAGCAGTTAATCACAGACTGAGTTATTGACATGTGTAGAAAAATCATTGTACTTCACAAGAAATCTTAATGCAGTTTCAGAACACAGGTAAGTGTCACCATCCCTATTCTACACTGTAAGAAATAAGGTGCCAAAGTGGTGCAAGTAGCCTCTGTTGGGCACTCTTGTTTTAAAGATTAGGGTTAGGGCAACAGAAGTGCTGAGTATTAAGAAGAGGACGCTGAGAGTGTGTCTTCATTGCTAGGAAGGAACAACTCTGAACTGAAAAAGCACAAAAAAAGGGCAATTATGCCTTAGGATACGAGAAGCACTATGTAGGGACTGGAGGAGATGAAGGGCCAAGTGTTCTACAGTGGGGCCATGGCCAGCCTGCCCTAGAGATGGCTCACCACGAGCAGTGAGGATGCCAACCCCTCTGCCCCGCATGGCTATGGGAACAGGCATCGCATCCCACAGCCGGGGCATTTAAGCAATGTAGATGGAATCTTAGAGTCACCCCTGCACTGTCAGAATTACTTCAAGTTCTGGGTATCTGAAAGTGAACGCTCAGAATCGGTAACTACGGCCAAAGTAGCTTACAAAAAACACACCAGGCAGAAGCACTGATGTTGATGTCTCCATTACAGGTCCATCCACCCTCCTGCGGCACCCACCCGTGGATCATTACAATTTGGAAGCACATGGGAATTTGAACTTGCAAAGCAAGGAGAGGAGAAATCACCTGCTGTGTCTCTGCAGAGAGCTAGTAAGGGCCTCATCAGACGGAAGGTTCCCTCCTGAAAATGGGCAAAGCTATTCTTAGTTTTCCATTTATCTCTTCCTTCTGAATATGTCTGGCAGTTGCACTGCCCTTTTGCCTCCCGTGGACTTTACCCTGTTGCATGCACACTTGGCTGCTCGTAAGGCAGCCCAAATTAGGAATAAAATCTTTGGCTTTAGAAATAAGACTATAATGAAAACCCAGAGAAAATTTCAGAATTGTTCTACTTTCAACTAAGTAAAACATGATGTGCAACGAAGAATTTAGCTTTTATTTAATTTGTTAATTGCACATGCTCTTCTTTTCATGTGGTATTTTCAGCCACTATGAGCTTTCTGGGCAGAGGTAGGTTAGGCACACTGATAATCTACCTCTACTCCCCCTAAGAGAGACAATTATTTGTAAAATATCATACTTGCATATCTTAAACACAGCCAAAATACAATAACTTTATTAAGATGGGTAAGTGTTCGTTTATCATACATATTCACAAAAGGAAAAAAACCCAAGTAGAGCTGGCAAAAAAATGTTTGGCAAATGTTAAATCAGATAAAAATGCAGCTTTGGTGTCCTCTCATTAGTGTACATACGACTGCTTTCAGATGGGGAGAATCCAGAAAAAAAGGAATGGGAAGGCAGGGCAGAGAAAAGACTTCTTCGTGTTGGTGGCAACACGCCATTTTTTCAGCCCAACTGCATTTGAAACCCTATGTCAGAACATGAAAGCATGTCTTCAGCAAACGTGGCTCCACCTGCCTCCTCCACCTGAGGAGATGCGAATCAATGATCTCCACTGCCAGGAGGAGACCTCCCAGGAGGGCTCGTGGGCTTACAGGCACCGCTGGCTTTTATGAATAAATGAACCGGCGAATGGAGCATTGGCTGAGACTGCTCTGTCACCACAAGCCCTTCAGTATTTTCAGTTAAAAGACGACGACTACACCCCCAAGTACTTCACCCATGAGCGAGTGAGTGATGCTTCTGCCATTCAAAGACACTCGGCAGAGAAAGGCTCTTGGTTCCAAGTTCACCCACCCAAAGGATGCAGAGCCATATCCTGGAAAAGTAGGGCTGATACCAAGTGGGTGTCAGACTTCTGTCAGAGCTGCATCTTTGCCACTACCGAAGTGAAGGGTTTCACTTTGACAACAGGATCATTCCTTTAGGAACGATACTAATTATAGAACACATTCATTGAGACCTAGGGAAAAAAGAGTCTGGTTTTACTCAATTCTTTAATCGTGGGGATGAATTATTTTCATACTGCTTTGCACCACCACCTTAAAGGAAAAATATTCCTTTAACACCACATCTTTACCCTCTTGACAGAAAGCCTGTGTCATGACATGAAGCCTATAGGGTTTGCCTAACAACAAATAGCATATTTCACTGCTTATAAAGGAGGCACAAGAAAAAATACATGGGAATTTGTCAAGTATACACACCAACAAGAGGAAGTATTCCAATAATTATACTAAATCAAAATGTGAATGCCCTTAAGCTTCCCCGGGGCCTTTCTCATTAGGAGGTGAACATTGTACTCACTTGTCTCAAACATGGAACTTTCTGGCTGTGGCTGTAGAGGTAGTTGGAGTTGCAGACCCCTCTGTTAACAGTTTATAACGAAAAAGCCCATTTTAGAGGTGTGTCATCCTCACCTAATTCTACCCAGCATACTGTACATAACGCAAAGGTCAGAAAACATGTTTTATTGAGTATTTTTTTTAAAAAGTTCTCATGGTTGTAAAACATTACACTTTTTCCCTTTCAGAAGGGCTGTGCCTTTTGGTGTGCCAGATGCTGCTGGCGTCAGCTGAGGGAAGCTACTGGTGCTGACACTTGAAAGGAGCTTGCCCTGGTTCAAGTATCAGCATCAGCAGTTTCGCTGTTACAGGAGAAGGAAGACAGACTCATGTGACACCAAAGCAGCCAGTGGTTGGTGAAACCACTGGAGAGGGATGCCAGCTGGGAGAGTAGAGAGGACAACTTACTTATTTTAATTTAAACTTTCAGAAGAGACTTAAGGACAGTTGAATGCATACTTCTGAAGGTCTTTCCACAGACTTCTGAGCGTGCTGCTTCTCTTAAGAGCCCAGAGCCTAGGACTGAGCAAGACTTTCCCTGCAATTACACCTCTCATTGCCAGTACAAACTAACACCATAAATTGCAGAGAATTTGGTCGCTAGCAGGTACACGTAGTGGATGCAGCACTGCAGCTAAACACAGCGAGCTTCTTAAAAGCTTAAAGGTGGCACAGATGAGAGAAACAGACATTTATTAATACTGCTCAAAAATTCATGAGTTACTTCCTTGCCCTCTTCTGATTGATGGAATAATAATGCAAGAATCTAATAAATTAACCAGAAAACAAAAAAACCCACCAGCCTTTGCAAGGCTTCCAAGGCAGAAAGCTGACAAAAACCATACAGACATCTCACATGACTGACTTCAATCTTTTATGTTGACAGTCCATTTATTCCTTTTTCCATTGCCACAGAATTTACACACGTACAGCTTACTCAGCAGCAAATCTCTCAGGTGCATTGAATGAGCAGATGCCCGCAGGTTTGCTCTCCTTGGCATGACACACATGATAAATTACATTTAAATTTAGAATTGGCAAGTACAAATCCTATGGCTCAGTTTCAGACACTCTAGGATGTAAAACCGAACAACTTGGCACCATGTTTAAAAATACACGCAGCATATCTAGGAAGTAATACTGTATGCACTGAACAACTTGAAGACATCTGTACCATTTATAAATTGATCAGCCTAGGTGTTACCACTATACCAGCTTACCTAAAAAGTGAGTCAGAGTGCCCTGAAAAGTGGAACTTTGGACAGCAGCAAATTATTAAAATACATAAGGAACTCATAATTTGAAAGCAGCTTATTTGCATTTATTTTTACAACTGTTCAAGTGTGAAGGTGTTACTCCATGCTATTGTTTATGGGAATGTAAAATGCGTATGTGGTTTCAAATGGGTAGAAGACTAGGAAGAACAAAAGAAAAAGCAAAAGCGTACTGCGCCTAGGAAGCTGGCTGATAAGGAGCAGCTCCTATCCCGAGAGTATTTTGCCCAGTCTTCCTCTATTAGAAGGTGTCTTTCATGAAGGATCCTCACAGGAATGAGGCTTAAGAGTAAGTGAATAAGTGTGTATATATAGAAACTGAATACTGTGCTAAG